AAAAAAAAAAAAAATGTGAAATAGTGGGGCCGGCCCCGTGGGCCGAGTGGTTAAAGTTCTACGCGCTGTGCTTCAGCAGCCTGGATTCGTGGGTTGGGATCCCAGGTGCAGACCTAACTCCACTCATCACCCAGGCTGTGGAGGCATCCCACATACAAAACAGAGGAAGATTGGGATGGATGTTAGCTCAGGACTGGTCTTCCTCAAGCAAAAAAGGAGGAAGATTGGCAACGGATGTTAGCTAAGGGCAAATCTTGCACACACAAAAAAAGTAGAATAGTCATAATTCTCATTCACTTGTCAAGCTAAGAAAGAAAATAATAATTTACTTAAGATAAAACAGTCATGCTGGATCATTTGAGAAAACATACAATTCCAAGAACAGCTATTCATTTATTCATTCATCTGTTTATTTTCTACTTTGTTATATTAAAACTTCAAGGCAGCTTGAAAGCAAATATAAAATATAAGAAGGTATAAACAAATTAATAAAAACATGGGTAGGAATACAGAAAAATAAAAATGCCTGCCATTAGAATCTTCATACTTTGTGCAGGTGGGCCAGAAATTTGGCTTTCCGTTTTCAAAGGGAAAATGGAAACCTTGTTATATTTACAATTTGCAAACCTCATGAGATAAAAAACAAATCAATTATTTAAGACATACACAAGATAATAATATCATATATGAATCTTCCTAGGACCTCTCATTTAAAAAGACAGTGTTAATTAATGTAATTTTTATCATCCACCAAATTATTAATTTCATGGGGCTTTTTCTTAGAATGACCTTTACCCTATGCTATTGGCATGAGACCTAGAATTTTCTTGAATCACAAGGGTTACAAAATCATTCTAAATCATAACTTGAAATTATTTTTACCCAGTTATTGCTGGTAGATGTATTTCAGACGTGTTAGACAGTAGTTCCAGCAATGGGTCTCAATTTTAGTGTCACCTAAAGAAGTTATTAAAACACACCTTTCTCAGCCCCCCTTTCAGAGCTGTTGATGTAGTAGATCTGGGGTGGGACTCAAGAATTTGCATTTCTAACAAGTTCTCAAAAGATGCTGGATGCTGCTGGTCTTTTGGAAACCACAGTTCAAGAACCACTGAGTTACACAGTAGTATTGAACAGCTTGTACCTGACACTGATCTGCTTTACTATCAACTCTGAGGTTCGTGCAGGCTGCAGAGAACCATTATGTACAAGTAGGAGACCTTGTGCATGAGATGCTCAGTCTTTCCTTAGAAGGTTGTATGGGCAAGCCCTTACTAATTTCTGATATATGGCTGTGGAATCTCAATCTCTTTTCTGCATATGCACTTGGTCCTAATAATTAGGAATTGAAGGTAAGTGCCTGACATATGTTGGAAGGGAATTGAATCAGCCTGAGAAACTCTTCAGGGGGATGAGAAAGATGAATGTGAGGTAAGGAAAGGAAACGTGGAGCAGCCAGCAACATCATGGCAAAATGTTATACAAATACTATTAACTTTATTTTACAGATAAGGAAACTGAGCCCTGAGGGGTTAAACAACTATTAAGATGTGGCATCAGAATTTGAAACCAGACCTTTAGTGTAAGACCTGAGTTCTTAGTAGAGGAAAACTTTATTTTAATCATCATCATCATTCCTAATAATACTCTATTTGTGAGTGATTTAAAGAAAGTCTTTAACCCTATCTGATACTGGCTGACTTTTTACATAAATTAATAATCTGAATATTTTATTTTAGATTGTAAATTCAACTGCCATAAACGCTGTGCATCAAAAGTACCAAGAGACTGCCTTGGAGAGGTTACTTTCAATGGAGGTAAAATTCTTTGTCTTGATTTCCCTAAAAGATCACAAAAGGTCACAATTCTTTTGTGTCTTATCTTTGTATAAGGTTATATTTGCATGTTTTATTTTGTTTCTTCGACTTTTTTTTCTGATTTAAGAATCATGCAAAATAGCCAGGCTCCGGCTATTTGGTATCGATCAGGGCCGGGGGCGCGGGAGCAGGTGGCTGCGGCGGGGCAGCTGGGCCACCCGCCTGGTGCGTCGGGGCCCGTCTCCCGCCGCCTTTGTCGCTAGTCCTTGCTTGGCGGGCCGCTCCCTCCTCCGGGGCCACGCGCGCTGCCGGGTGGACTTTGCGCCGCGCCGGGCGCCGCCGCTGCTGCTGCTGCTGCTGCGCGCGGGGCCGCGCTGGGGGCCGGCGGCGGCCGGGAAGCGGGCGGCCAGGGGCTGCCAGGACCCCGGCCCAACATGGCTGAAGTCAGCATCGACCAGTCCAAGCTGCCAGGAGTCAAGGAAGTGTGCCGATATTTTGCCGTCCTAGAGGACCACACCCTGGCCCGTAGCCTGCAGGAACGAGATCCAGCATCATTTGGCATCGAACGTTCAGCGGAACCATTTGGTCCAGCATGATCTCCAGGTGGCTAAGCAGCTCCAAGAGGAGGATCTGAAAGCCCAGGCTCAGCTCCAGAAGTGCTACAAAGACCTTGAACAACAGGACTGTGAAATTGCTCAGGAAATCCAGGAGAAGCTGGCTATTGAGGCAGAGAGACGTCGCATTCACGAGAAGAAAAATGAGGACATACCTAGCTTGCTTTGCAAGAAAAGGATTTACAGGAAGAGAAAAAACAAAAGAAACACTTTCCAGAATCTTCTGGAGCCAATGCTTATGGAGATAGTTACTATTATGAAGATGCAGGAATGAAGCCGAGAGGGATGAAAGAAGCTGTCTCTACTCCCTCACGAGTGACCCACAGGAATCAGGAATGGTATGATGCAGAAATTGCCAGGAAACTGCAAGAAGAAGAAATTTTGGCTACCCAGGTGGACATGAGAGCAGCTCAAGTAGCCCAGGATGAGGAAATTGCTAGACTTCTAATGGCCGAAGAAAAGAAAGCTTACAAGAAAGCCAAGGAACCGGAGAAATCATCTTTGGACAAAAGAAAGCATGACCCTGATTGGAAGCCAAAACCAGCTAAATCGTCACACTCAAAGTCAAAAGAGAGTGATGAACCTCATCGTTCTAAGAATGACAGGCCAGCACGGCCGCCATCAGCTACCGTGACAGATCCTGAGGATTTGGATTGCACTCATTTTACAAACCAGCATAATTCCACATGTCATTTCTCAAAAGCGGAGTCCTCTCATAAAGGTTTCCATTATAAGCAGTAAAAACCTAGGAATCTGCCTTGAAAATGGACTCAGTGTATCAAATACTGCTAGATGATACAGAATGCGTTCCACGCTTATTTTTTTTCCTTTTACGTTTGTATTCCTGGGTTTTATCCTTGAGTGTTTTTCTGACCATAAATAGTTTTAATTCATTTAAAATGTTTTGGTTATTCCTGATCACTTGGGCAGTACAAGAAAATCTAGCTTTTGAATATTGGCCACCTCTATGCTGCATATACTTCCTGGGATGTAGTATCTAAGAGCTCCATAAAGTGCCATTTTCATTAGGTATGGAGTATTGGTGTCTAGGGACTAGGCTTTATTTAGCAGTTAGAATTTTGTGAAGATAATGATCAAAATGAAACATAATATTTGGATGCAATACAGAATAAAATAATGTAAGAAATAAAAAAAAATCATGCAAAATAGAGAAATAAGTAATGGTATACTTTTATTAGTAATTGTGCCTTCTCATCTTTCCTTTATCCACCTTGTAGTCGAATACACCCAGTGCTGCATATCCTCTTTAATCTTTTGACATAAAAACACATTTTAAAACCCTGCTATTATCTTTAGAACTATTTCATAGTTCGAATATTTGTTGACTGCTTACTATATGCCAGGCACTGTTCTAAAGTCTTTGCATATGTTGACATTTAAGCCTAAGAACAGCCCTTTGAAGTGAGTACTTACAGATGAGTAAACTTAGGCACAAAGACAATAAATAACTTGCCCAAGAAGTACAGCCAATAAGTGGTAGAGCTGGGATTTGAACCCATGTGGTCTGGCTTCTTAATCCTAGTCCTTAGAGCACATTGTACTGCCTCACTGTCTCTTTCTCCATCAAATAATCGTTAGCTAAACATTTTCCCTTTTTTGCCATTTTTTTCTCTTTTTAAGATTATGTTAATCAAAGTGATTACCTTTTATGGAAGGAAGGAGTAAGGAAGGAGTAATAACTAAACTTTCAGCATAATTTTTCTTTAACATTTACATAACTGGTAAAAATTGAATGTAAATAGTTCTGTAGGAAGAAAAGCATAGGGAATGGAAATTAAACTCTTTAAGAGTTTAACATTTCCCTTTATTTTCTCCAGTTGCTGTTTAACACCATTGGCAGAGCATGATTGGTTTTCTTGTTTCAGTTAATCTGAATTAATGCAGTTTTTCTATATGACTGAAGTCTTTTCTAGATTTATAGTTCGTGTATTTTTGTGCTTTTCTACCTTTTGACAAATGGTTATGAAGTACTGTTTATTTTAATACTAATGAGTTTGAGCATCTTTCAGATGTTTACTGGTTATTTAGGATTTTTTCCCCTGTAAGTTGCCTGTTCACGTTTTGTCCATTTTTCTGTTCGTTTATTTGTTATTACTGATTAGCAGGAGTTGTAGATAATTCTACCTACTAATTCTTTGTCAGTTATATATGATACAAAGACCTTCTCTCTCAGTGGCTTATCATTTTTTAAGCAGCTTTATTGAGATGTAATTTGCTTACCTTACTTTAGTTTACTCACAGAGTTACGCAGCCATCATTACTATCTAATGTTAGAACATTTTCATCACCTGAAAAGAAACTATACCTATTAGTAGTCACTCCCCACCTACTCTTCCCCACTAGCCCTTGGCAACTACTAATCAACTTTTTATCTCTATGTGTTTGTCTCTTCTAGACATTTCATATAAATGGAATCATACAATACGTAGTCTTTTGTGACTGGTTTCTTTCACTCAGCATATTTTCAGAGTTCCCTTTTTATTGACAAATAATATTCCACTGTGTGAATATACCACATTTTATTTATCCAGTCACTCAGTGGACATCTGAATTGTATCCACTTTGGAGCTGTTATGAATAATGCTGCTATGAACATTTGAGTACAATTTCTGTGGACGTGTTTTCATTTCACTTGGTAGATACCTAGTAGTGGAATTGTTGAGTCATATGGTAACTTTGTGTTTAACATTTTGAAGACTGCCAAACTGTTTTCCAAAGCAGCTGTACTATTTTACATTCCCACCAGCAGAGTGTGAGGATTCTAATTTCTCTGCATCCTTGCCACCACTTGGTATTGTCTGTCAGTTTGATTATTGCCATCCTAGTGAGTATGAAGTGATACGTCATTGTGATTTTGATTTGCATTTCCCTGATGGCTAATTGATATGGCATATCTTGTCATGTACTTATTAGCCATTTTTACATCTGCTTTGGAGAAATATCTATTCCGGTCCTTTGCCTATTTAGGTTATCTTTTTATTGTTGAATCGTAAGAGTTCTTTAAATATTCTGGATACAAGTCCTTTATTTGGTATATGATTTGCAAATACTTTCTCCCATTCTGTGGGTTGTCTTTTCACTTTCTTGAGTTATTGTTTCTAGCACAGAAGTTTTTAATTTTGATTAAGTCCAATTTATTTATTTTTTCTTTTGTCACTTATGTTTTTGGTGTTGTATCTAAGAACGCTTTGCCTAATCCAAGGTCACAAAGATTTACTCCTGTGTTTTCTTCTAAGAGTTTTCTAGGTTTAGCTCTTATATTTAGGTCTGTGATCCACTTTAAGTTAATTTTTGTATTTGATTTAAGGAAGTGGTCCAATTTCTTTTTTTTTGGATGTAAATATCCAGTTGTCAAGCACCATTTACTGAAAAGAGTCTTCTCTCCCCCTTTGAATTGTCTTGGACCCTTGTAGAAAATCAGTTGTCTATAAGTATAATAGTGGTGGCTAATCTTTTACTTTGCTTCTAGTATGTTTTGCCATACAGAAATTTGAAATTCTAATGTAATCAAATTGACTTTTATGCCTTACGGTTTGTGCATTTTTATCTTCCTTAAGAAATACTTGTTTATCCTGAATCATGAACATATTTTCGTATATTTTCGAGTTTTAAAACTTTTTTTCACATTTAACATACTGTCTCTAAGTTTAGATGTGTTGATATCCCAGTAATATAAAACTCTGAAATTCATTTAAAACTTTGCCAGAACCTTCCAGTCTGGGAACAGATACAGATATACCAATGGATATTGACAGTAGTGACATGAACAGTGATGGTGGTCGAGGCTTGGACGACACAGAAGAAGCATCTCCCCCAGAAGATAAAATGTTCTTCCTGGATCCATCTGATCTTGATGTGGAAAGAGATGAAGAAGCTGTTAAAACAATCAGGTAACGCATGTGTATGTACTGCAAGCTACTTCCAAATGCAGGGTTAGTTCAGGGGCTCCTTTAGGAAAGAAGCAGCCACATCTCTTCAAGTGGAACCTAAAATGTAATTTAAAATCTAAATTGTGGCTAATTCTTTTACATGCACCACAGTATTTCTGAAATAAATTATATCACTCTTGCCATCTACTCAAGATGGGAAAAATGAGAATCTTTGTTTTCTTAAAGAGAAAAATGCTCCATTTAAATATAGTCTAGGGGCCGGCCCCGTGGCTTAGCGGTTAAGTGCATGCTCTCCGCTGCTGGCGGCCCAGGTTCGGATCCCGGGCGCGCACCGACGCACCGCTTCTCTGGCCATGCTGAGGCGGCGTCCCACATACAGCAACTAGAAGGATGTGCAGCTATGACATACAACTATCTACTGGGGCTTTGGGGAAAAAAAGGAGGAGGATTGGCAATAGATGTTACCTCAGAGCCGGTCTTCCTCAGCAAAAAGAGGAGGATTAGTATGGATGTTAGCTCAGGGCTGATCTTCCTCACACAAACAAATAAAATAAAATAAAAATAAATAAATATAGTCTAGATATAATATCTAGCAGTGGAGCAACTGCCACAAGGTGCCAGAATTGAACCATCAGTTAAAGCAGCCAGTTTCTTCACACAGGCAGATTACCTGATGTTAGAAATACCAGTAAGAATATATAACTGAGAATGTTGCACAAAGATGACCGTGATGAATTTGGGGGCAGTTTTCATATTATCACAATTAATCTGACTGTCAGTACTTTGTAAAAATGCTATTGGATTATAAAACTTAAATATCCCCCTATGTTTATAGAAATTCAATTTTTGTATGTACAGTCCTATAGGATGTACTACTTTGTAATAAAATGTTAACATTTTGGCAGGTTTTGTTTTTCATTAGCAACAGAGGTATTTAGAGAAAATGGATCATTTATCAGTCTCACATGGTTGAATCATCATTTATTCAGTTTGGCTTTTCATTAAATTACAGCTATTATTATCATTGTCATTATTAATTAAAACTTAATGTTTACCCAATTTGGAGAGTATTAAGAGAACTTGAGCTAGTTTCCTAATCATAAGTACTTAATAATTTAAGAGAAAGTATTTAACTGTCAGACTCAAATTGAAAAACAGTGTATTTTTTATACCCCTCCCCCCAAATTGCTCTTTTTCTCCAGCTGCACTATTACTGACCCATGTGTCAATATTATCTGATTTGACTAATTACATTATTTTTTATTTTCTTAATATCTATAAATAATTTTTCTTTCAAATCGTATTCTAGAAGTACTTTCTGCTAACAGTATGAACAATGGAATTTGACATTTGAACCATGTGAATTTGGGTATAGGTATAGTCATACATCGCTTAATGACAGGGATACTTTCTGGGAAATGCATCAAGCGACTTCAACATTGTGCGAACATCATAGAGTGTGGTACTACACACCTGGGCTATACGGTACTAATTTTATGGGACCACTGTTGTATGTGCTGTCTGTTGTTGACTGAAATGTCACTTTGTGGCGCATGACTGTACTCGCTTTTGCCTTGTTATGAATTTACTAATTTATCGTGCTGCCTAGGACGGGAAGATTCCTCAACAGCAATCCCAAATGAGACCCTCTCCCAGGCTCCAGATCTTCCAGTTGGGGAGGATGCTTTCTGCTCTGTTTCTTGTTTTCTTATGTTTTGTGACCCTCCAGAAAGTATTCATGACAAATAATGAGGACTTACAGTATTATCTTAGTCTTTTATAAATCAACTATGTACCATCATAACAGGAATAATTTATTTTCTTGAGTCACAGTCTTCCTAAGATATTTTGAAAAATTTTAGCTCAGTTATCTTAAAAACAGCTTGATGAGATTACAGTATTTATATGATTTTTAAAAATTGAAATTTCCAATATTTATCATAAATTTTAAATATTTTTTAGTCCATCAACAAGCAATAATATTCCGCTAATGAGGGTCGTACAGTCCATCAAGCACACAAAGAGGAAGAGCAGTACGATGGTGAAGGAAGGGTGGATGGTCCATTACACCAGCAGAGACACTCTGGTCAGTAATTACAGACATTTTAACATGGTAGTGAAACTTCGTTATGTGCTTTATTTTGTGCATTTTTTAAATCAAAATGAGAATGAGATATATACTAAGACTAATAATTATAGTACACTGAAACTGTAGTCACATTTGTAAAGAATCTTTAAAAGGCAGAATATTTAATGTATTGTCTTTACAAACTAGTAGAGCAATAGAGAGTCAAAAAGGATCTGGAGATATAACACCAAATGCACTATCCATAAAAAAAATAATTGATAAGCTGGACTTGATTATAATTAAAAGCTTTTGCTCTGCAAAAGACAATGTCAAGAGAATGAGAAGAAAAGCCACAGACTGGGAAAAAATATTTGCAAATAAGACATCTGATAAAAGACTATTCTTCAATATATGCAAAGAACTCGTAAAACCCAACAGTAAGAAAACAAACAACCCACTTGAAAAATGGACCAAAGATCTTAACATATACCTCACCAAAGAAGATACACAGATGGCAAATAAGCTTACGAAAAGATGTTCCATATTATATATCATCAGGGAAATGCAAATTAATAAGATACCACTACAGACCCATTAGAATGGCCAAAATTCGGAACACTGACAACACCAAATGCTCATGAGGATGTAGGGCAATAGGAACTCTCATTCATTGCTGCTGGGAATGCAAAGTGGTGCAGCTACTTTGGAAGACAGTTTGGCAGTTTCTTATAAAACTAAACATGCTCTCACCATATGATCCACCAATCACTACTCCTTGGTATTTACCCAAAGGAGATGAAAAGTTACACCCACACAAAACCTGCAAATGGATGTTTACAGTAGCTTTATTCATAATTGCCAAAACTTGGAAGCAACCAAGATGTCCTTCTGTAGGTGAATGGATAAATAAACTGTGGTACATCCAGACAATGGAATATTATTTAGCACTAGAAAGCAATGAGTTAGCAAGCCATGAAAAGACATAGAGGCATCTTAAATGCATATTACTAAGTGAAAGAAACCAATCTGAAAAGGCTACATACTGTATGATTCCAACTATATGACATTCTGGAAAAGGCAAAACTTAGGGAGATAGTGCAAAGATTAGTGGTTGGGGTAGGGAACAGGTAGGGATAAATAGATGGAACACAGGATTTTTATGGCAGTGAAAATACTCTGTATGATACTATGATGGAATATGTCATACATTTGTCCAAACACATGGAATGTACAACACGAAGAGTTAACCATAATATAAACTATAGACTTGTGACTATGATCTGTCAACATAGGTTCATCAATTGTAACAAATGTACCACTCTGATGAGAGATTTGATAATGGGGTAAGCTATGCATGTGTGGGGACAGGGGGTATACAGGAAATCTCTGTACTTTCCTCTCAGTTTTGCTATGAACCTAAAACTCCAAAAATGTGAAGTCTTAATTTTAAAAAATAGTTTAAAGAAGTAAAAAAAAAATTCTATGTGGCAAAAAACAAAAGCAAAGACAAGACAAACTGGAAAAAGTATTTTCAACTCATATTCTAAACAGGGATTAATTATATGTAAAGAGTACCAACAAATTGATAAGAAAAAGATCATAACACAATAGAAAAATGGGCAAAGAATATGAAGAGAGTTCATAGACTAGAAAATATAAATGACTCTTAAACATATGAGCTTGATCTTGTTTTTAATAAAAAATACAGTTTAGAATTTCACTGAACTACCAGTTTTTACTTATTAGTGTAGCAAAGATCAAAATGTTTAATAACATACTGCATTAGTAAAGTTGTGAGTAGACAGGTATTCTCATGTTGCTGATAAGACTATAAATTGGGTCAAATCTTGTGTAGGATAATTTAACACTGTCAAGCAAAATTACATATGCACGTATCTTTTGACCTAGTAAGCCAACCTTTAGAAATTTATAGATTATAGGTAAATTATATATCTGTGTGTGTGCACGAAATACATATGTATTTGCATGTGCATGCATAAAATTCTTTAAAAAGATTCCCGAAAACCTAATAATATTGCTTGCCTGGAGTAAGAGTAGGAGTAGGATATGAGTGATGGTGGGAGTATACTTTCATTATATATCCTTTTTATATTTTCAGAATTTTGAACCTCATGAATTTTAAACCTATTCAACAGTACAGATTTATGCATAAAAATGAAAGGAAAAGGAAAAGTGCAGGTACTTTAAAGGAATCATTATTTTTGAGCCTCACTGTTTTATGCTCTTTATTTCATAGAGAAAAAGGCATTATTGGAGACTTGACAGCAAATGTCTAACATTGTTTCAAAATGAATCTGGATCGAAGTATTATAAGGTAAAGATTTCACATTTAAAAAATAATGTAAAATATTGTATGTTTTCTCAATATATCTAAATAATGTTCATTGGTTGTTATATTGGAATACACTTACTATAATTCTGCCTAATATAGTTTATAGAAGTCACTGTTAAGTTCCTTGTTGAAGCAACTGTCCCCCACCCTTCCATTTTACCCTGCACAACAGCCCTGCTACCAAAGGTGGGTTTTTGTTGTGTCTTTGTTTTTGGCCTGCCTGTCTGGTTGCTGCTGCATTCCTTCTGAATACTATCATTTAGATTAGGCTGTTTAGAAAGTCCCATGATTATTGCCTGTCCAGAAGAGGCCAATGTGGTATTCGGTGTTTCTCTCACCTTCCATTGTACCTTAGGGCCTGATTCCCAGATGCTTCTTGTGGCTCTACATCTGCTTTGTATAGCATTCTTTGCTTGGCTTGCTCTACATTTTGCCATGTCACAGACTGACACCAAACAAGATTGTAAATGTAGCAATTGTATAGGTAAGAAAGAGAATAGAAACTAATGACTTGCTTTGAGCTTTGAGTTGGGTTTTTTGTTTTTTGTTTTTTTTATAATTTTTATTTATTTATTTTTTGCCCCAAAGCCCCAGTAGATAGTTGCAGGTCACAGCTGCACATCCCTCTAGTTGCTGTATGTGGGACACGGCCTCAGCGTGGCCGGAGAAGCAGTGCATCAGTGCACGTCCGGGATCCGAACCGGGGCCGCCAGCAGCGGAGCGTGCGCACTCAACCGCTAAGCCACGGGGCCGGCCCTGAGTTGGGTTTTTTAAAATAAGTTTTTTGCCTTAGGAACTGGACTAAACATAAATGATTGTTACAGTTTACCCCAATGGACAGAACCAGAATGGAGTGCTTAACCAACCTACACTGCCATTCTACTTTTGTTGCTGTTATTTCTGCTCCATACTTCTTTCGGGGCTGTGTCTTGAGCAGAGAAGTAGTTGTTGATTTGATGACAGTTGGAAAGTGACAAGTGTTGGATATAGTGGCACTTGCCTTCCTAAATCTTTCCTCTCCTTCCTTGCATTCTAATAACTGGCTTCAGGCTTAATCACTGGCTTTTTTTTATATTCCATTGGCATTGCTGGACATGCAGATCTTTCAAGGTAGATACTGTCCTAAGATTTGACTGTTTGTTCCCTGTGCCACGTACTTGTGTTCATCTTAATGGCATTCATTAGAAATGCATATATTTGATTGTTTAGTGAATTTGAAAATAACAAAGATGTATTCATACTTTTCAATGCTTAATTTTTTACTTCAGGAAATTCCACTTTCAGAAATTCTCCGCATATCTTCGCCACAAGATTTCACAAACATTTCACAAGGCAGCAACCCACACTGTTTTGAAATCATCACTGATACTGTGGTATACTTTGTTGGTGAGAACAATGGGGACAGCTCTCACAATCCTGTTCTTGCTGCCACTGGAGTTGGACTTGATGTAGCACAGAGCTGGGAAAAAGCAATTCGCCAAGCTCTCATGCCTGTTACCCCTCAAGCAAGTGTTTGCACTTCTCCAGGGCAAGGGAAAGATCACAGTAAGCAATAAGCTTGTTGATGACTTCTTTTCCCCATTGGTTCTTAAGCATTTTCTGGGTCTGATTGTGATTCTGTATGTATTTTTAATGCTCATTTTAAGCTTCATCTTTAGTAACCAGTAACATTAGTTAATTCCTTTATAAAATTATGTTGGTTATAGTGTATCTATACAATCCCCAGAGCCAGGCTCCAGAGTCAGTCTCCCTACATTTAAATCCTGGCTCTGCCAACCTGCTGTGTGACCTTAGGCAAGTATTTTACCTCTCTGTAATAGTACCTACTTTATAGGGTTGTCATCATTCAATGAAAGAGAACCTATAAGGTATAGAACAGTGTTTGGCATCTATGAACTCTCATTGGATTAAGTAAACTACTAGTATTTGTATTTTGCTTCATAGTGAGATATAAACAGACTATAAAGTGCTATGATTCACATCATACTCATAAAATCTGTGAAGTCAGAAATGCTGTGGGCCGGCCCCGTGGCTTAGCGGTTAAGTGCGTGTGCTCTGCTGCTGGCGGCCCGGGTTCGGATCCCGGGCGCGCACCAATGCACCGCTTCTGCGGCCATGCTGAGGCCGTGTCCCACATATAGCAACTAGAGGGATGTGCAGCTATGACATACAACTATCTACTGGGGCTTTGGGGGGAAAATAAATAAATAAATAAAATTATAAAAAAAAAAAAAAAAGAAATGCTGTATTTCTTTTAACTGAATTTAATCATTCAGAAATATTTTTTTTTTTTTAAAGATTTTATTTATTTATTTTTCCCCCCAAAGCCCCAGTAGATAGTTGTGTGTCATAGCTGCACATCCTTCTAGTTGCTGTATGTGGGACGCGGCCTCAGCATGGCCGGAGAAGCAGCGCGTCGGTGCGAGCCCGGGATCCGAACCTGGGTCGCCAGCAGTGGAGCGCGCTCACTTAACCACCAAGCCACAGGGCCGGCCTAATCATTCAGAAATATTAAAAAATAATTTAAACACATGTTCTTTGCACCAACAAAATTTATAAAATTTACCTAAATTTGATAAAAGTTCAAGTGAACACTTAATCAGAAAGCCATAGTATAATGTCACTCCCACCCCCATTGGCATTATGTTATTTATCAGGAAACAATTCATTAATTAGACAAATATATTTAAATTGAAATAGGTATCAACCAGTTTCTAAATGTATTTTATTTCAGTTCACATATATTATTTTGTGCAACTCTTCTTGGCATTATGCCTAGGCTCTGAACTAGAATACAAAAGAAATGCAGAAATTTTATTTTATTTTATTTACTTATTTTTTTTAAAGATTTTATTTATTCATGTTTTTCCCCCCAAAGCCCCAGTAGATAGTTGTATGTCGTAGGTTCACATCCTTCTAGTTGCTGTACGTGGGACTCGGCCTCGCGTTGGACGGAGAAGTGGTGCCTTGGGGCGTGCCCGGGATCCGAACCTGGGCCGCCAGCATCAGAGCGCACGCACTTAACCGCTAAGCCACGGAGCCGGCCAGAAATGCAGAAATTTTAAAAGCTATATTAAGGGAGATAGGACATACATACATAGTAAGTGTTAGATAGTAGCATAAAGCAGTAGCATGCAAAAATGAGTAATGCATTACTCAAAGAACTCAGATATGGATAGGAAGAGTAAGCAGAGACTTCATGATAGAAAAACCTGATTTGGACCCCAACCTGGGATCTCAAGTATGTTAGGATAGGAAGAGCGAAGTGATAGGGAGTGAGGGAGGAGTAGCGTTACTCTAGTTGAGGAGACAAGTGTGATCAAAGGGACAAGGATAATGACCATGAACATGTTTGGTGTTTTTAATATTGATTCTTAGGGGGAGAACACATGGATATTCATAGTGCTTCTTAAGTTTGGGGGGATTTTAGAACTGTCTGTATTCTAAAACCATTGACATTTTTCCCCATAAAATAATCCAAGCGCAAACATACAAATTTTATATATAATTGGGTATAATTAGGGACTCTCTCAAGCCTCCCCAAGGTTGAGAGTTTCCTAAAGGCAGAATTGTAGAAGGGTTAAGTGTGAGGATTCTGGAGAATGAAAGCCTAGCTCTGCTGCTTACTGTGTGATCTAGGTCTCTACAGTTCTCTAACTAAAGCAGGAATAATAATAAATGCACATAATGCACTTAGCACACTTCCTAACATATAAGTAATACTGTTCTGTTGTTGTTCCTGTAACAACCTGTCTGGAGCAGAGTTCTCCTGGGAAGCAATAGAAATTAAAACTGGGGTCGGCCCCGTGTCTTAGCGGTTAGGTGCGCGTGCTCCGCTGCCGGCGGCCCGGGTTCAGATCCCGGGCGCACACCAACGCACCACTTCTCTGGCCATGCTGAGGCCGTGTCCCACATGCAGCAGCTAGAAGGATGTGCAGCTGTGACATGCAACTATCTACTGGGGCTTTGGGGGAAAAAATAATAAGTAAATAAAATGAAATTAAAACTGAATGGAGCTGGATAGTTGAGCCCTTTGAAACAAAATAAATATTGATTACTAGGAAAGTGGAACTACTGAAAAGCAGAGTTTTAGACACATTAATTTTGTTGATGCTGTGCCTTTTTTGTTTCCTTAATTTTTAATATTTGAATTAATGATATTTTTTAATTGACAATATTTTTAAATGGAAATTTTGACTATGTTACTTATTTTTGATGCATAGTTTGCTTACATTTCATTGTTAATGAAATTTTATATTTTTATATTTGGGATTATAAAGGAAATTTTGAATATTGTTTCTTTGAGTTGTCTCCAAGATTCGAAATGTTTGATACCTGGTCTCTTTTGATACCTGGTTACTTCCCATGTTTCCCTTTTCTCTTTTTCTCGTCAGTTATTTCTTTTGCTTACCAAAGTAATAAAAACATTTAAACTTTATAGAAATAAGTAATATAAAATGAGAAAGTCCTCCCTATACACACATAACACACACCTCTCCCCTCCCCCCATTCCCAGTCCTTCATCTCCTGCCTCAGAAAACCATTATTTTTATTTATTTATTTCTTTTTGAGGAAGATCAGCCCTGAGCTAACATCCATGCTAATCCTCCTCTTTTTGCTGAGGAAGACCGGCTCTGAGCTAACATCTATTGCCAGTCCTCCTTTTTTTCCCCCCAAAGTCCCAGTAGATAGTTGTATGTCATAGTTGTACATCCTTCTAGTTGCTGTATGTGGGACACGGCCTCAGCATGGCCAGAGAAGCAATGCGCACCCGGGATCCAAACCCCGGGCCCCCAGGAGCGGAGTGCGCGCACTTAACTGCTAAGCCATGGGGCCGGGCCCTCAGAAAACCATTATTAACGTTTGGTGTATATTTCTTGAATTGGGGAGTGCTTGGGGGAAGGGGAGCCTATACTATCTGTACTATATTGTTATATTTTTATTTTCACAAAAAAATGTGGTCATACTCTGTTCTTCTTTGCAACTCTGCTGTTTAATATATATCAGATATATTTCAATGTCAGTATATAGATTTACCTAATTTAATTTTTTTTATTATGAAGGTAATGCATGCTTTTTAAGTTTTAAAAAATGCAAGTAGTATAGAAGTGTATACAGACTAAAATCTTTGTTCCCCACCCCCACCTCTCTCACTCACTAGAAGTAATCATGTTTTTTTGTTTTTAATTAAGATGCTGCTACTCTGCAACTTTCCTTTTTAACTTAATATTATGTCCTGGATAGCTTTCTGACTCAGTACTTACAGTTCTACAGCATTCAAGTTTAGATAGTGTTCCTTTGTATGGATGTATCATATTTTATTTAGCCAGTTTCTTGTTGATGGATTAATATTGTGTATGTGCATAAGTTTTTTTATGAATGTAACTATATTAACTATGTTAGCCAGTTTTTTTAATTTAATATACTATGGGCATTCACATGTCAGTAAATATTAATATTATTAAGTCGTATGCTAACAATTTTGTTCTTTTCTCATACATCATTCTTATATTTTACAGAAGATTTGTCTACCAGTATCTCTGTATCTAATTGTCAGATCCAGGAGAATGTGGTAAGTAAAAGTTACAGCTAAAATATGCCAACTGGGTGATTAAAATAAGGAAAATAAGATGAGAAAATCTTATTAGAGAAATAGGTTCATAGCCCAAGTATTGAGCAGTTTGCCTAAAGACACCAGGCTAGATTTTGTGGGGATAACTTCCCTGAGGAATTCTGCTTTATGAAGAAAACTAAGGCAGATTTTTTAAATTATGAAAAGAAAGTTAACTTCTTCATAAGTGAAATTAGAATATTACAAAGTGATAGTCTAGTTCAAAGAGAAGAGAGAGATTACTTCTTGCTGGGTCAGCAGGGAAAGCTTCCTCAAGGAATTGGAACTTGAGCTATGCCTAAAAAGATGGAAAGGAGTTTTGACGGAAGTGCTGAGAGGATGAGGGTGGGGGAACAATATTTCATGCAAGCACAAGGAATAAGAGAAGCAAATGGAGGAGAGCAGGAAATGCAGGACTTTTAAGGAATAGTGACTAGATAAGTTTAGCTGGTGTATGTTGGTACATGTAAGATAGGGATTATAACAGGCATACTTTCTTTGAAGGGCTAGGTAGTAAATATTTTAGGCTTTGCGAACCATATACAACTACTTAACTCTGCCATTGTAGTGAGAAAGCAGCCATAAGCAATACATAAACGAATGAGCATGACTGTTCCAATAAAACGATTTGTGGACATTTAAATTTGAACTTCTTATAATTTTCATGTGTCACAAAATATTATTATTATTTTGATTTTTTTCAACCATTTAAAATTTTAAAGTCTGTTCTTAGATCAAGGGCCATACAAAGAGAGACAGCAGGCCAGATTTGACCCACAAGCCATAGTGTACCAACCCCTGGAGTAGAAAGACAAGACAGAAAATTGTTCGTTAGCTATATATAAATTTCTCTGATAAAAATCTCTCTTCCTTTTCTACTTGGGGCATCCAGCTGTTATAGCTCTGTAATATATAAATGCCATTGGGTTTTCTAAGATTGCAGTGGACTAGATATCCAGTAGTGTTGTAGGAGATAGAGGGTTTCAAGGAGATAGAATCTGTGTATCTCTTGTCCTAGTGGTAGGTAGAATACATACCAGATTCCTGGGAGAGAAAGGGGGATAACAAAAATATGAGATTACAAACTTTGAACGATCCCACAGGAACTTGAGGACATATCCATTCATAGCTGAGGAGGGAAAAGGTTCAGAATTGGTCTTCGTGAAAGAACCTTTTCTAGCAATTATTATTTAAACAGTGGATGTTCCCTTATCTAATTTGATTAGAATCAAAATTTGGTTGATTAAACAAAAAGTTAATTAAAGTCGAGAAGCATGTAAAAATGATTCTTACAAACCTTAAAATTTTCATTATAGCTGAAAATATATATATGCACATTTGTTTGCTTTTGTCACAGGGCTGAGATTTTTTTTCTGTAAGTTATGTGTCTGCTAAGTACAGTTCCTCTTTGTCTTTCTTGCATCAACCACACCTGTAATGTAGTAATCTAATTCTGATGCTAACCACCCTGATTTTGTCCAGGCTCCAAAGGTTAAGGGCACAGTTCCCAACAAGACTGCCTTCACTTGAGACACCAGCCATAAGTTCAGGGGTCCCCAGAACCCAGAAGTTCAGGGTTACCCACACTTCTGACCAACTGGCTACAAATTCAGAATTCCCGTGATCCTACACTGAGGTTCAATAATTTGCTAGAATAACTCACAGAACTCAGGAAAGCACTGTCCTTAAAATTACAGCTTTAATATAAAGGATACAAATCAGGACCAGCCAACTAAAGACACAGAGGATGCATTCTGGGAGGGTTCTGAATGTAGAGCTTCTGTGTCCTCTGCCTGGAATTAGGACCCACCACCCTCCCAGCACACTGATGTGTTCACTAGCCAGGAAGGTCTCCTGAACTGCAGTGTCCAAAGTTTTTATTGGGGCTTCATTACATAGGCATGATTGATTGAATCACTGGCCCCATGATTGAACTCAATTTCCTACCCCCTTCTCCTCCCCTGAGTTTGTACTGGCTCAAAAATAACCATGTGGTTGGTCTTTCTAGTGACTCTCCTCCATCCTGAGTATCTCATTAGCATAAACTCAGGTGTAATCCGAAGGGCTCATGAATAACAAAGATACTCCTATTGGGAAATTCCAAGGATTTAGAGTCTCTCTTTCAGGAACTAGGGACAAATTCTTCATTAGACACCACCACCCATAATGCATTGTCTGTAATTTCCAATTTTCATTTCTTTATAGTGGAGCCAAGGATACTTGTAAAACATTCTTAGAACAGAATCCTCACTCACCACATCTTCAGTGTTTATTTTGCTCACAAGTAAATTGACAGCAATTGTTTTAGTGCCTCATTTTTGTAGTTTCCAGAACTACTTAGTTTTCCTAGAAATTTCTCATGTTTTGTTGATTTATATTTAATTTTTTGTAATACTTAATTAAACCATGTAATCTTTATAATAAGTACATTTGGCATAATGCATTTGGGAACAAATTTGGTTTTAAGAGTTACTCATGGGGGGACTAGCCACAAGCATTTGTTACACTCCTGTAGACATCAGTCAGTATATGCTTTTCAGAGGGCATGGAGGGTATAGGTTATTCTGGTGAGTTAGTAAAGATGTTAGGATAATCTTTACTATAATAGTTATTTGACCCTGATATCCTGATATGATGTCCTGAATATCTTTTTTAGTATATTTTTCTATTTCCCCTACTACATCATAAGTCCCTCAATTAGCTACCTGTCACAGAACCTTACATACAGTTAGAGCTCAATAAATGTTGATGATAATCATAAAATCGTAGGCATTTTTTAAATTAGAAGAGACTCAAGAGAGATGGAGATCAGTAGCTTTTGTTTTTTGGTGAAGAAGATTGGCCCTGAGTTAACATCTGTTGCTCATCTTCCTCTTTTTGCTTGAGGAAGATGGTCCCTGAGCTAACATCTGTGCCAGTCTTCCTTTACCTTGTATATGGGACACCACCACAGCATGGCTTGATGAGTGGTGTGTAGGTCTGCACCAGGATCCAAACCCGCGAGCCCCGGCAGCCAAAGTGGAGTGCAGAAACTTAACCACTATGCCACCAGGCTGGCCCCTCAATGCCGTTTTACAGATAAGAAAACCAAGTCCCAGGGAATTCAATATCTTACTTAAGATTACCTAATTTAAACAGAAATTAGGAAATTGAGATTTGCAGAATTGCTGATTTTTACATGCCAGGCACTGGACTTGACAGTTTGTATATATCCTCATTTAATTCACTTAAAAATCCAGTGAGAGGGGCTGGCCTGGTGGTGTAGTGGTTGAGTTCACGTGCTCTGCTTTGGCGGCCCGGGGTTCATGGGTTCAGATCCCAGGCGCAGACCTACACGCTGCTCATCAAGCCATGCTGTAGCGGCATCCCACATACAACGTAGAGAAAGATTGGCACAGATGTTCGCTCAGGGACAATCTTCCTCAAGCAAAAAGAGGAAGATTGGCAACGGATGTTAGCTCAGGGCCAATCTTCCTCACCAAAAAAAAATACAATGACAGTGTAAAACGCATTCTTGTTTAAAAAAAAAATCCAGTGAGATAACTGTTATGATATCGACTTCGCCAGTGAGCAAATTGAGGCCTACGAGACTCAGTTTATTCAATTGACTGACTACCATGAGACAGGCACTGGCTGGGATGTAACACTGAACAAGACAGATGTAGTCCCTGGCTTCATGGAGACTGTAGTCCATACCCAAACAGAAGGGAGACCTTGACTAAACAGCTGCGGAGGGGGTTGGAGAGTGCCCTCCAAGAATATTCTGACAGCAACAACCACTACCAAAAAAAGAAAAAAGGAAGAGGAGGGAGGGAAGAAGATTGAGGAGTGGATTTGAGTTACAGACTTTCTCACACATACTCTTTTCGTCAGTCTTTCAAAATTAGCCTAATCTCAATAATACGAACCTTTGTGTTTTTCGTTCAAATCAAAGATAGCAAATCTCTTTAATAGTAAAATAGATAATGGTGTATTCTTAATTTATGTTAGTTTATTTTTTATAGATCACTACTTAATAAATATAAGATTATTTTTCATTCAAAGCATTTTTTTCCCCCAAGGTCTCCTTACAGAACATATTATACTTGCACATTAAGAGTCATAGTATTAAAATTGGGCTTTTCTAGGACATAGAAAGCCAATGTTTCATAAAATATTTTCTTATGAAAATTAGTTGCCTCTATCATAAAAATAAAACTGTATTTAAGTATTTGAATGAAAAGAGTCAGAGATATTGACATTGTTTTGTAGAGGAAAATAACCCTTACTGCTAACTCTTTCCTGAATAGGACATCAGTACCGTTTACCAGATCTTTGCAGATGAGGTGCTTGGTTCAGGCCAGTTTGGTATTGTTTATGGAGGTAAGTGACTACAGTCTTTTGCATATTATATGTACTATAGAAAAATTGTGAAATTTAAAAACATCCTGCAGATATTACGTCTTGTCACAATTTTGTCAAGTGGCTTTTTTCTCAAAGGTTGAGTTGTATCCTTTTAGCTAAGCCCTTTTCACTATAACTAGGTATTCATTCCTTAATTCCAACTGCAAACTTCAAAAAGTAACAGAGAAAGAATCAGAAAATTAGTTTCACAATAGTCTTACTTTATCTGTTCTTGTAGCTCACACATAAAGATGTTTGTGTGGGAAAAATAAGTGGTTTGAAGTTTATGTTGGGCTGTGTGGGCTTATTTATTGAAGTATATGCCCTACTGGCTTTCCAACACAGATGGAACCATTTGTCTACTGTTGGCATGAATGTTATATCAGGTCTGAAGACCTGAAATCTTTTCCATCTCTGTGACTTAACGGTAGTGGCAAAGTCATTTAATTTCACTGTGCCTTAGTATCTTCATCAGTTTAATGGAGCTAATAAAACTGACTTGCATACCTCACAGGGTTGTTAATATTAATTAAACCTAATATACATAAAAGTACTTTATAAGCTATGATCTAAGGTACAAAAGAAAAGTAATGTTAAACCCTTGTCCTCCCTTGATGGGACTGTTATAGTAGTCTCCTAGCTGGCCTTTTCTGCCTCCAGGCTTGCTATAATATGTGGCTAAATCACTCTGTGCTGACTCAGTGAACCTAGAATAAAATTAATTCATTGGTACAATGTTTCTATCCTGACAGAGTCTCTGAAGACTAGGTCAAGGTAATTAAGTATTATTTATTTAATAAGGTAGATTATTTTTCAGCAAACAAGTTCATTCAAATTTCCTGCCGTTTCAAATAATGAACAGCCTTTATTAGGGGCAACTACTGTAAGGGAAAACATAATTTATTTCTTAAAGGTGAGTGAAAAAGAAAGAACAAAATGAGCCAAAGAAAGGAAATATGAGAGTAAATACATATCGGTTTCAGTCTGTGGACAACTTAACTTCCTGATAAAGCTTTTGTGTTGTATTGAGCTGTCAATTGCTTCTTTCTTTTCTATACTTTTTTTAAAAATAGGAAAACATAGAAAGACTGGAAGGGATGTGGCTATTAAAGTAATTGATAAGATGAGATTCCCCACAAAACAGGAAAGTCAACTCCGTAATGAAGTGGCTATTTTACAGGTAAAAAAAAAAGAAAAGTTGCTTTGTATTGGTTTTAATTTTTGATTTATGAATTTTTAAATTCAAGTGTATTTAGTGTGCTCATAAGAATAAAATTTTGGTTTGTTTTGTTTTTATCTTATGACCTTTTGGCTCAGTAAGAGGCTTACCAGCCTCTTGAGTTAATTTGAATTAACTCAAGTATTTTTTTTAAAAAAGGCAAAATTAGGTTACAGTAATCTAGGAGTTACAAGGATTACCATTATGGTAGTAGTTTGCTTGGGACACATTTTCATAAGTAAAATCTTAACCAAAAGAAAGTAAAATTTCATTCTTAATTCATCACTCCAGGAGCTCAAAATACTTTAATACTTCTACCATCACATTTCATTAGGAGGTCACTGTTATACCCATCCAGTTCCCACAACTGATATGCTTGATTATTATAGCAATTACTTTAAAAATAAACACTGCTTAAAAACTGTGTACCTTTTAACAGCATTCGTTATTTTAATAATTCAAAACTCCAAAGATTTAATTTTATAATGGTGTAGTCCATTAAGGTATATTTTTAAAGATATATTGGTAATGACTTCTATCCCATAAAATAAATTATTATGTGTTTTTATTTTCTTCTAACATTTTTACCTCTTTGGGGGTTATCTAGAAGACTAAAATTTAGCTTTATCTTTATTTTTCTGAATATTATAAATAATTTATAATATGCAAATATCTATTAATTCACTGTATAGCTTTTGCATAATATTTAAGAAATCGTGATGATGTAATAGTCAGTGCTGTCAGAGCCCCATTTGCTTGTGGGTGAAGTTCAAGAAGACACAGCCTAATGAACTTAAGCTTTCTGGAAGAAGAAGGTAAGAAACTTACAAACACATAATTAATTTTATATTTATTACATTATTGGTCACTAGTAGTAACATTTGCCTCACTTCTTTTTCAGGAGAGTGATAATCAAAAGATTGTGGTCTACAAGCTACCTGTGGTTACTTCAAGGCTGTCCTCTCCTATAAAGCTACCTTTAAATAGAATATTAATAGCATTCAGACTCTGTATTAGGGTATGAATATATTGTTAGACATCTTTTTTCATATCTAATTTTGAAATCTTTCTCATTGTCCAACTAATATGCAAAAAAAAATAATAAATATTAAGGATATATTCCTAAGGCTTGATTTCTCCTTGTCACTTTGATCAGCAAAACAGCTGTGAACTAAACACTGAAGCTTTTTTCATGTTATCAACTGTGGATCATAATAACTAAATTTAGGAATTTCCAGATAATGTACAATGTAAAAACTTTATTATTATATTCTTCTGGTTAGATAATGAACCCAACTGGAAAGAGAACTGATTGTAGTCTCACACATCACACACACAGTATCACACAGCAAATACTCATTTAATATTTGTTGAATAAATGAATTTATGTGGGGAAATTATCTATGACATATTGCTAAATTCCAAATATACTGTTTTCATGTTAAATTTAATACAGTCCTTGTAAATTCTCTTCAAATTGTTTATATACAATATTTACATTTTTATATTTAGTGAATAGCTTACTTTTTGTCAGAAACTATACTTAAGTACTTTTTCTCAACATTACCTAACAGGAGGATGACAGGTTCAGAGTTTGAATCTAAATCTGTCTCCAAACCACATGCTCTTTCTAATCTATCACATTGTACCTACTTTGTGTGTGTGTGTACACATATGTAAAATTGTGACTTAGGTTCCTTTGCAGTGTGTAAAGTCAACAATTTTGTCTTTATATATAAAGATCACCTGTAGCCTACTTTGTATATGAATTGCAGTTCTGTTTTCCCCTGCTTTGCTTTAGCTTTTATTGAGCTAACATCAGTTTATAACATTATATAAATTTCAGGTGTACATCATCGTGTTTCAGTTTCTTGAATTACAGTTCTGTTAGTACAATCTGAATTAATGTTGGTAAATACATTTTTTAAAAGGAAACTTTTTTCAAATAGTAACTCAGTTACTAAAATTAGTGCCACAAGATTTAGTCCTATGAGTATTTCAGCTAGACTCTTTCACATCGGTTGGAAAGAACTTACTCTGCCCATACACTCACGCACACCATGGTTTGTTCCCCTCTTCCCCCTCCAGCTGTATCACCTTTATTTTCCCGTCTTTGCCCTGGGTTCTTCTTGTATGTAGTCCCCATCAAACAGACCTAAAAGGCTGGCTGAACCCAGCCTGGTAGTTGATCCTGGTATGGTAATCTCCATCTGCAGCTCCACTGACACCCATGGCTGTTCTTCCCTAGGTCTGCATTTTTATAAAGAAAGGACAGGGTAAAGACTAAGCATATTATTGAGACCACAGCTTTAGCCTTTCTGGTGGCAAGAAGGAAAAATTATAGAGTGATTTAGAAGTGGCTTTACAGTTTACCGAGGAATGTCCAGCCTCTCTTTTGAGCACTTGGTGATAGGCTCTGTATTTCTGTCAGTTTAATAGAAATGAGGACATGACATTTTGGGACATCTGTGACTATTCTTTATTAGGCTAAACCAAAATCTCTTGAAAAAGGTTCCACTGCAGACACCACACTCAACAAATTGCATCTCTTTTCCAAATGCGGACCACAATGACTTTCTTGCTGTTCCTCAGACACACCAGATATGGTCTCAAGGACTTTGCGTTAGCTGTTACCTCTGCCTAGAACGCACTCCCCCTCCAGTATCTTCATGGCCTATTCTCCTGTCTCCTTCAGGATTTTGCCCAAATGTCATTTCCTCAGTGAGGCCTTCATATTCTATTCAGCATTAAGCCCACCTGCCCCTTACCCTAACTCTATTTTTTCTTTTCTCCATAGCACTGATCACCTCCATACTAGGTAACTGACTAGTTTATTATCTATTGTCTGTCTCACCTTGCTAGAATTAATAAGCTCTGTGCGACAAGAGATATTTGTCAGTTTTGTTTACTGATGAATCCAGACTGCTTACATAGTACTAGGCACACAGCAAATAATCATTTAATATTTATTGAATAAATGTATTTATGTGGGGAATTATGACATATTGCTAAATTTTTAAAAAGGAAATGTGGAATGATTCCATTTGTGTAATTTCTTAAGGTAATATGTACTTCACATATGTCTGCATACAGTTATGTATAGAAAAGGATTCATACTTACCTAAACTGTCAACATGGCCATATTTGGGGATCGCCTGGTGGGGCAGGGAAGAAATGGGGGATTTTTACTTTTGTTTCATAGAGATATAGTGATGTAAAATGTTTCTTTTGCTGTTGCCTGAAGAGGATAGTAGAGTAGTGGGAGAAAAGGTGTGGCACCCTCATGGCTACCTGTGTAAGTGGAAAAACATTATCAGAAACTTAAGAGGGAAATTTCTAGTTTGAACATTGTGGTATAAATTCAGCATTTTCCCTTTCTCTTCTCAGAAATCACCCAAAAGTTACAAGAAAAATGATAAACAGAAAAGCATACTATATCTTTAATAAAAATAGAAGAGAGTTCAAACTTACAAAATAGGTAGAAGTTTTTCCAAAAACGGGAGATGGAGCAGGGGTGCATGCAGCAAGACGTACCACAATAAGAACTGTTTTTGCTGGCTCTTTCTGAGATCTACATTTGTGATATCCTCTCTAGGTGCCTTCTCAAACAGAAGAAAGCCAAGGGGTCATGATCTAGTAAGATTTAATTCAAGGGAAAGCCATTAAATGAACTGAAGAAAGGCACTGTAACAGTGGAAGAGTGTAAATCACACTACCCCAAAAAACAGCATCAACATTTATAAAGGAAAACTAAGATGATACAAGGAGAAAAAGATAAGCACACTACTAGTCAATGACAGGTGAAGTAGACAAGTAAGAGCATAGAAGGTCTAAACAGTATAAGGTAGATCTAACCACTTTATACTGAACTCTGTACCCTAAAAATAACCAAAAATATTGCATTAATTCAAAAAAGCAGTAATGTGAACAGTATTCTTTGATCTTAATGCAATAAAGCTAGAAATAAATTACAAAAAACAAAAAGCTCCTACCACTTGAAAATTTTTTAATATCTTAATAATTGAATCAAAGAGCAAAATCAAGATTTCAGAGTATTTAGAAACTAATAAAAATACTGTATATCAGAGCTTTTGGACTACTGCTCAGAGAAAGCTTTATAACAAATATTAAGAGAGAACGAAAATAAATGAATTAAGAATCCAACTCAAGAAGTTAAAGAATGAACAATAAACCTAAAGAAAGCAAAAGGGGATTAACAAAGATAAAAACGGAAATTAATAAATTTAATAAAGAATATAATCTAGGGGCCCGCCTGGTGGCGCAAGCAGTTAAGTGCGCGCACTCCGCTGCGGCGGCCCGGGGTTCGCAGGTTCGGATCCCAGGCGTGCCGACGCACCGCTTGTCGAGCCATGCTGTGGCGGCGTCCCATATAAAGTGGAGGAAGATGGGCACGGATGTTAGCCCAGGGCCAGTCGTCCGCAGCAAAAAAAAAGGATTGGCAGATGTTAGCACAGGGCTGATCTTCCTCACACACACACAAAAAAGAATATAATAAATCTAAAAGTTGGTTCTCAAGGGGGCAAGATAACAATAAAATAAGTAAGTAGCCAACCTAATCAGAAAAATAAAATATAAAAACATCTTGAGGAGATGACCACAAATACTGAAAAAAATTAAGGGAATCTTAAGATACTACCTTGGTGCAACTTGCAGATAAATTTGAAAACCTGGAGAAAATGATTAATTCTCTATGAAAGTATAACTTATCAAACAGACTCCAGAGGAAATAGGACATTTAAACAAATAGAGGTTAAAAGAGAAGGATGATGTTATAGCATACTTCCATTTTTGTGTGTGCATGAGTGTGTTTTTAAAGGAAGAGTGGGGAAAAACACTTAAGAGAGAGACAACTATAGCACAGGGGATTGCAGCCATACTTCCAATCCTAAATTGATAAAAGTTAAGATATTCTGAATCTTCCACTGCTTACTGCCATTATCACGCCCCACCACTGGGGTATTTCACTCTCATTTATCTACTGTAACTTATTTTGCTACTTGGAACACCATGTCATTAAATTGTTTTAAATTGATTAGTAAACAATATTTATTTTGTGCTTGTCATTTTCTAAACATTTTTTAAAACACCAACGATGAATCAGACATTAAGCTAAAATGACCAAGACACAGTCTCTGCCTTCAGGGAACTTAGGCTAAAAAGTAAGATATATACACACATAATACAGTACCATGGACGAAGTACTGCTGCATATATAGAGAGTAGTGGAAACTACTGCAGTAGTCCCAAAGAGAGGTAATGGGAACTAAAATTAAGGCAGTTATAGTGGGAATTGAGAGATGATGGATTCAGAAAACATTTTAGAGATGGAACTCAACCTCATCTAGGCGAAATGAGAAACAAGTTTGCCGCTTTAGCATAATTAGGTACCCATAATAAAGAAAAAAGCATAAGAAAAATTTATTTCTCTTAATAAGGAATAAAAAGTTTAATCACTTGGGCCAACAGAGCATATATAATATTGAATAGGGAGAATGAAGCCAGATTATTGAAATTATTACAATTCACGAAGAGGAATTTAGATATATGTCCAGAAATAAAGAGCCATTGAATGTTTTTGAACGTGGCTGACCTCTCAAATTGGCTTTTGAGGAAGGTTTTTCACAAGTAAGATAGATTGCTTTTTCTTAGCAGAAACAGTATCGCATTCATCTTTGTATTTCTCCAACCCTGGTAACATAGTAGTGCTCAAGAAACATGGGATGATGGAAGTAAAGAGATGCTAAGCCTAAAAGAGAGGAGACTAAATTGAGTTATAATATAATGAGAATCAAGACTTAGATAAATAACTACCTTCAAAACAAAACCATCTCTTGAGCAAAGACCTTCACAAATACAGCCCCAAAGAGCTCTGTGAAATTGGCTAAGATTTGATTGGCAATTGGTACCTATTCACAGGCAGCATAAAATTAGAGTAATGTCAGAAGATTAAAAAGATGAGAAGGAATGGAAAGAAGTAGTAATGAACAAGGGCAACTACATAGTCAAATTGCAAAAACATTCTTTCCCTCAGTGCATCTACTCTCCAGTACAGAACTTGGAAAAATAGAATCTATGATCCTTTTTATTTTGTTTGCTTTTATTATTTTTCTGTGCTGTTTTTCTTTCTATGCCATGTATTCCGTACAATTAATTGCAGCACATTGTTAGATATTTGCACAGTAAAATTATTTCTCTGGTCATATGTATCCTGCAATTCCAGAATTTGCACCATCCTGGGATTGTAAACCTGGAATGTATGTTTGAAACCCCAGAACGAGTTTTTGTAGTAATGGAAAAGCTGCATGGAGATATGTTGGAAATGATTCTATCCAGTGAGAAAAGTCGACTTCCAGAACGAATTACTAAATTCATGGTCACACAGGTATTTTAACTCTTTTTTGAAACTAGAGAATAATTAAAAACTAGGAGAACAAAATAGCAGTGCTTATACATATTGGGATATTGTGGGAATTGTTAACCTTGAAGAATAGAATAACACTTTTAGTTAAATCTTACTGAACTGTAGTGAACTTTTCAAATTATACCATTCAAAGGGGTCAGACCGGTTTAGCTATGATTTTTCCAGGCTTTGACAAAAACCTGTTTTTTTCAATAACAGATACTTGTTGCTTTGAGGAATCTACATTTTAAGAATATTGTGCACTGTGATTTAAAGCCAGAAAATGTGCTACTCGCATCAGCAGAGCCATTTCCTCAGGTAAGATAGTCTCCAGAACCATTTTAAGTATCTGTCTGACAACATTACGAAGTACCCACATAATGAAAGGCAGTGCTGTAGGTTCAACTATATAACCATCTTAAAAAGAAATAACCTTTTTAGCCTGTAACTGCCAGTGAAGATTAATACCTGAATAATTTGAATTCAGATTTTACTAATTATATTACTTTCATTAAGATTTTTTAGACTGGGGCTGGCCCTGTGGCTTAGCGGTTAAGAGCGCGCGATCCGCTACTGGCGGCCCGGGTTCGGATCCCGGGCGCGCACCGACACACCCCTTGTCCGGCCATGCTGAGGCCGCGTCCCACATACAGCAACTAGAAGGATGTGCAGCTATGACAAACAACTATCTACTGGGGCTTTGGGGGAAAAAATAAATAAAATTATAAAAAAAAAAAAAAAAAGACTTTTTAGACTTGACCAGATCTCAAGGAATAGCTTTTTGCACATAGACTGTTTGCAATTCACCTCTCCTTGTAGGTTGGGAATGAAGTGCGGAGAATCAATCTTGGTTGGTGCTTGGTGCCCAGGACAAATTCCCTATAAAACAAAACAGACTAAGGGGTTTCTCCCTGAAATGGGAGATACTAGATTTTGGCTGAGGCAGGCAGCCAACTCTTCTTTCTCTTTAGAGTACTCTATTTCAAACATTTTCACCAAAGCCTATGTAAGAATTACTCTTCCCATCACCACCAGCGCTCATATATATATATATATATATGACAATATCGTGTGTAATGTGTCCTATGCGTGATGCACTGATTTTGTTTTTTACTCATTTAAATATCATTTCATTTAAAAGGGTTGATCTTGATCCAAATTTATTTCATAACCTAAAAATGGATCATAACCTAAAGTTTGAAACAGTTGTCCTGAGAGATATATGTTGGTGGTACCTGTGAATGTTTCATGATTGTCACTGATGAATCCTTCAATCCGCTAGAATATCTGTTGCCAGACTATTGCTTATGTACATTTAACACATGCACAATTAGACAGATGGCTGTTTCACTTGGTAAATACAACTCAAATTATCCTTCAAAGAAAAGTACAATTGTGTGCCACATAATGACATTTCTGTCAATGACGGACCTTGGTGGTCCCATAAGATTAGTACCATATAGCCTAGGTGTGTAGTAGGCTATACCATCTAGATTTGTGTAAGAACATTCTATGATGTTCACACGACGATGGAATTGCCTAACAACACATTTCTCAGAACATATCCCAGTCGTTAAGCAACATATGATTGATTGTATTTTTAAAAATTATTCAGCTTTTACTTGTAAAAAAGTAATCATATTCTTTCTTTTATAATCCCTATTTGGTTAAAAGAGAATCTCTATCATTGTGAGATCAAAAAGGGTTCCCTAATAGTTGGTTCCCTAATAGATGTTCTAAATAAACTTCCATATATTATCTCTTTTGATCCTCAAAATAGTATGGGCAAAGGATGCACACCCCTACAGCTAAAGCTAAAACTCCAACTTTCTGACCTCTGTGTTAGTCATCCCCATTGTTCCCGTTGGGAACAAAGGGAAAATAATGTCATTTAGTTGATATACTGTTTTTTGCTCAAGTGCTAGCCACGGCCACACTTCTTTATGCAGCTGTCAAACTGCCAAGTCATCTTTACTTTTTCAAGATGTTAGCTGAAACATGGCATTTAACAAAAAAAAAGAGAGTTCACATTTCTTCATAGCCAATAATTCCATTCTTCAAAGGCTCAAATAGAAAAGTAGTCAAATTCAATAATGACACAGAACAAATGTCATTATAAAAACGTGTATGAGGAGCCATATCCCAGAAACAGCAAGCAGCATTTGAATACACCTTCATCTTTGCTTTCCAGTCACTATTTGTACCACTAGTTTGTAGAGGCCAAATATTCTTTTCTTTCAATTTATCTTAATGCTTTTTCTGAAGACACTTTGTGAGTCGGCATTTCCTCTGGAAAGTACTTGTTATTTGCTTGTTCAGCATGGATGCATCATTAGATACCGCCAAAATCTGAACCTCTACTAGAAGAGGGGCAGCAAGATAGTGTTTTGAGCTCTGCCAAGCTCAACACAGTTCCAGAACTCACTTCCCAAAAGGACATGGTAGTGACTATGGCTACCTTCAGATATAAGTTTTTTCAAATCTAAACATCTAACTAGCAATAATTTGTTCCATAGTCATAGAAAACACTGTTACTGTTATTCTTTCAAGCAATCTCTAGCATTATTCTACTGGCCACATTATTTAATACACTTCAATTTTATTTACTTGTCAATTTATAGTATCCTTGGGAAGAGAGTTTCTAGAATTAAGCAAAATAAAGGGTAAGTTTTTAAATGTCGTAACTTACTTTTCATTCAGCAAACATTTATTGGGTACCTTTATGTCCAGGCACTGTGAGGCCACTGAGTCCTCAAAAGTGAAACACATGATTCCTGCTCAAAGATGACAGGAAAGCAATCTCCTTAAAAGCCAAATGATAAAAAATCAGCACCCTCCATTTTATTACAAAACTTTGAACTTTGACGAGTTTGGTATTTGGCATTCTGCAAGCTAGATTTCAAAAGTGGTTTTTTGAAATAAGCAATAGGAAAACTCTTCATACCATGTTAGTAATGGATCACAGGGTTATAAATGTATTTGCCTTTTGGGAAAAGGGTATTTTACAGTTTCCCTATCTATGATCATATATTTGACATTCATAATCAATACAGTTGGCAAGTGTGTTGAAATAATTCAGTATAATATTTAGGGACAGGTATGTATATATAGATTGATAATTTATATATATATATAATATAAAATTAACATCATCCTTTGATTTCTAGGTGAAGCTGTGTGACTTTGGTTTTGCACGCATCATTGGTGAAAAGTCATTCAGGAGATCTGTGGTAGGAACCCCAGCATACTTAGCTCCTGAAGTTCTCAGGAGCAAAGGTTACAACCGTTCTCTAGATATGTGGTCAGTGGGAGTTATCGTCTATGTGAGCCTCAGTGGCACGTTTCCTTTTAATGAAGATGAAGATATAAATGACCAAATCCAAAATGCTGCCTTTATGTACCCACCAAATCCATGGAGAGAAATTTCTGGTGAAGGTAAAAAAAAAAAAAAGTTTTAGCTCTGTGCCCTTTAGTCTCAAAATCTTTGTGATCCCAAATCAGCCTGTCTCTTCTGACTTCTCTTTTTAATATCTCCCATTCATCTTCCAAATTCAACTGGGTACCAATTTTTGAGCACTCTTCCTTTTTACATTGTCTTTTCTGTATCTTCCTTACAGTTCCCAGGCATAGTGCTAATCCAGGCCCCAATTGCCTCATTTTGAAACTACTAAAATAACTTTTCAACTGTCCTACACATTAGACATTCTTTTCTGGTCTTTCCCAGTCACCACTGCCAAAGCCATCTTCAGGAAACACTACTTTCATCTTATTCTGCTCCCAAATATTTTGGCCTCCCTTCAACCACTTTGCAGCTGTAGGTCTCTGTGCCATGGCCCAAGCCTACCTTCTTGCCTCATCTCCTACTCCCCTACACAAACCTAGTTGTGTACTCGCTTCTGAATTGTTTTCTGCGTTTTGCTGAGGCCTTTTCCCTGCCTGCAGTCCCTCCTCCTTGCTACTGAAATCCTTCCAGTCCCTCAAGGACCCTTTAACTTATGGCTCATCTGTGAAGTCTTCCCCAAACTCCTCCTCTAAACTGCATAAGATCTACTTAGGCTACTGGTTGGGCATATTCTTCCATAAGTACTCTATCTTTTCATAATAACTTTTCTTATCTTCAAAACCAGACTGTAAGCACTTTGAGTGAAGACCTGTAGCTCAGGTTCTTTATACCTTGAATGAGCTTTATATTCAATAGACACTCCCCAGTTTGTTTTCAGCTCTCCTATGGACCACTGCTGGGAAGCTTCATACATTTGTTTTTCCTGCCTGGTGATGAAGGCTTTTGCATGTGCAACCCCTGGTTCTGTACCCATCCAGAATGACTTGACTGACCCTCTTTAGTTTACTGACACTGATAGGAAGAGCACACCACTTACAACCTTATTTAACAGTCCCATAGAAATTTAATAGAACCATTTCTGGGCAATACCCCCACCTGGATTTAGCCAACCCTTGGAAGAGGGGAGTCTTGCTTGTTTTTCCAAAAAACAAATGATAGGGATTAATAGTCCATTAAACTGGGGAAGTTTGAAGAACAACATGTAAAGGCAGTAGCAGGCTCACTTGGTAATGAACAGAGCTAATTAAAGAAGTACATATGAGGGGTTTTGGATATTACCCGAGTCATCTTAGAGTTTCTGGGGCAGTGTGTTCTGTAGACCTTGTATATCTGGGTCACTTGGTGAGTTATTAAAAGAAAAACCCTTGGCTATACCCCAGAGATTCAGATTCACCCGCTGGAATGATATGCAGGAATACATTTTAATAAATACCCCCAAAATGATTCTGATGCACACGGTGGACCACCGTTTAAGGAACAATGGATAAAGGTTTGAAGTGTTTGGAACACAATTAAAATACTTATGGAAAATCTTTGCTAGTTTTGTGGCATATAGAAGAAAAATACAACTAGTATAAGTCTTTCATTTGGCTCATCCCTGGGTCCAGGCCTTAGTATCACTATTTCAAATATATCATTCCATGGGACTACAGTCAGTATATAATTACATGGTTGCTTCAGTTTTGCAGTTCGTCCATTTCTCCAAATAACTGGCTAAAATATGTATACCAAGATCTCACCACAAACATCAAAACACCATGATCTTATTTGTTAAAGCCTGTTGAGTAGGAACTTTTGGTAATAAGTTATCACCTACGTCTAACCACATCTGTAGAGACAAGGCAATGGCTTTGGCTACTCTTCCAGACCAAGCCAGGGACTAGACAGCAACATGGTGTCACTGGAGGGGAAAGAAGACAGAAAAATCAGCGAGTAATCAGTCTGTTTTATTCATCTTGAAATAATAATAGTTTAATACTTAGCACTTATGTACTAAGCAGTGTTCTAAGCCTTTTTCACGTATTAAACGAATTTCAACTCAACAGCCTCATTTTACAGATAAGGAAACTGAGGTACAATATAGTTTAGTAACTGACCCCATATCCTCACGCAGTTAGTGGCAGAACAACTTCCCAGCCCAAACAGGCTGGCTCCAGAGTCTATACTTTTTAACCTGTACTCTATACTGCCTCCTTAATAAAATAGGTACACTGTTAAGTAAACATTTGTGGATCACTAAATGGATCACTAACATGTTAGCTTAATGGCCATGTCCTTAAGAAGCAAAAATCCTCAACCCTGTATTTCTGTGGATTGAACTGCCTTCCAGGTAGAGTCACAAGTTTGGGGTGCTCCATACACCCAAATTGATGTATCTAATTTTATTTTTTCCCTTAGCAATTGATCTTATAAACAACCTACTTCAAGTGAAGATGAGAAAACGTTACAGCGTGGACAAATCTCTTAGTCATCCCTGGCTACAGGTAAAAAAAAAAAGTCTGTCTCTGTTGGGTGATCCTCAATTGAACAGTTCAGTGTGACCTGTCTTATCCCATGAAACCACTCTAAGATCAAACAGATCCTCCACGTCTTAGAATAACGTAAGTGTTCTTCAGTGATTAATCTGTCCTGTGGCTGAATCTTGGGAGGTTTTGTAGTACACCATTCAAATGCAATTCAGCTCCCATGAACCGAAAGCAATGATTTAGCCTTTTATAGGGCCTTATGTGTTCATTTCACCTTTTTGTAAGATGAGCATGACATATTATTTTGTCAAATATATTTTACTTTTAAAATGTCCCTAAAAGGTTTATATTTATTTGCAATTGAGGAGATCAGAAATGCCATTTAAAATGTTTGGCTTAATTCTCCCAAAAGCTATTGCGTACATTTGTTAAAAGATACCCCCAAACTGCAGAATAAAGAAGAAAGCTTTAGAACTGTTTTAAAGGGAGTGAGGGGTAGAATTAACTTCAAAACAAGTGCCATCATAGTAGTCTCAGTGATTATTCAAGTATCCTGATAATAGATTCTAAGCACTTTCCCTAGTTTGAGGAGGAAGGTGTAGGCCTCTCATGGTATAGAACAAAATGTTTTAATGATTGCTATTAGCTGCCTCAGAAGCCTGAGGCAATTTTTTTTAATTTCAGAAACTAGTTACTTTCTTAATTAGATTCTGAATTTGAAAAAGTATTTATCTTTAACATTGCTAATTTAAAATATTACAAATGGAACTTACTGAATAACAAGTACTAATGAGTAGGGTTGTCAATTATATGACTAGGATGCTAAGCAAAAAAAAAGGTTGACGATATTTGCTTTCTTTTATGTTCTTAATTCATTTGTTCTAGGACTATCAGACTTGGCTTGACCTTAGAGAATTTGAAACTCGCATTGGAGAACGTTACATTACACACGAGAGTGATGATGCCCGCTGGGAAATACATGCATACACACACAACCTTGTATACCCAAAACACTTCATTATGGCTCCCAATCCAGATGATATGGAAGAAGATCCTTAATTATCAATGAGCTAACTTCAGTAAGGAAGGTTTTCATTTTATGGACTGACATTTTGCTGCACAACTGTTGTTCTTTGTAGGTTGTCATCTGCAAGGATGCAAAGACATGAGGAAATATGATAAGAAATTGGTGACACCAATACTGTAGTTCATAATGAGTAGGTACAAGAGGGGAAACTGAGTAATAAAAACACATAATGGAACCAAGATGAAGCTTTTCATAAATTTTTATAGCATAAGCAATAACTGGTTTTTGTATCTTTTCCTAATACTTCACTTTAGTACAATAGTGGCACTTAATTTATCTTCCCTTTCCTGTTCTTATGTTATTTTTAAAACAGGAGAAAAAGGCAAGCTAGAGTCCAGTTAGTACATAGCTTGACCACATCATACAAGAGTCGTAAGGTTGATTACTCAACAGGTTGCATTTAAGAGATAACTGAGAGGTCACCAGTACATGATTTCCTATAAGGACTTTTAAACATTTGTGTAACTGACCATTGAGGGGTTTTTCCTAGATGTCTAGAGTAGGAGTGCCGCACTGTTTCACCTTTCTTTTTTAGGTCAGTCAAGACTCCAAAACAGCGATGTCTAACTTTTTGGATTTAAAAATCTGAATATGCTCTCTACAACATAATTAAAAATTAAGTTGTCACCTTTTGTGAGTGTGCTGCAACAGCCTCAAAGATAATTTGGGATAACTGATGTTACAAAACCGGGAGTAGGAACTGCTGGTCTAGGTGCTGAGTTATGTCTGTCTTCTCACAGCTCAACTCTGCTGCTGAATACTCACGTTCCCACTGAGACCACTGTGATGCCACAACTGGATTCCAGCACTCAATGAGCAGAGATCTAAACTTCAGCACCCAATTTACCTTTAAACAGGGCTGAATAATTTGAGGAAGAAAATTAAATATATAGTAAAAGTAGGTCAGTGCAGGGTCAGTTAATGCTAAGGAAAGAATAGCAAACAGTATCCTTTTTTTCTTCCCTTAGTTTATAGAAGGGCTTTACAGATATCCGAAATGTTTTTAAATCTATTATTTTAAGCCATCTGGGGGAGTGGGGGTGGGGTGGAGCATGAAACACTTTATAAGGGTAGGGCTATATTATCAGCAGAGCAAATGGGAGAATGAAATAACTTTTTTTTTTTTTAACATTTCAGCTCCAGCAGCCAGCTAAAGAAATTGTTTTCTACTGAAATATAGTATTTGACTTAAGAGGTTAGATTTTTTTCATAGCTTTTAAAAAGTTACTAATAGTTTTCCCCCAAAAAAGTTTAAGATCTTGGACCATCCACTTATTAAAAATCCAGTGGCTTTTTGTTTCTTCATTCCTCAGTAATCATTTTAGACCTTTTTTTTTCCTCTCAAAAAAGAGCAAAAAATTTAGAGTCAGAAAATCTGGGTTTAAGTCTTGGCTCTTCTTTATTAGCTGTGTTGGCCTGGGCAGGTAACGAGCTGTCTGAGCCTCATGTTCCTCAATCTGTAAAATGAAGTTCAGAATTCTTGCTTCTACCTTCCTCATAGTGTTGTTGTGAAGATCAGATATGTATGAACATATTCAATAAACTAAAAAATATAAAAGTGTTAACTATCACTGCCCACTGAATTTGAGGTAGCAAAGGAAAAGAATGTTCTTGTATGTGAAGAGACTAAGACTGAGAGGGCCTTTAGAGATCCTTGAAGCTACTCCCTTATCCAGAACCAAAAATACCCTTGAGAGAGTGGTAGCAAACATGCAGTGTTCCTATGTTCTAAGCTCTTGACATGTTTTAACCTACCCTCACAACAGCCATGAGGTGAAAGCTTTATGAACCCCATCTCACAGATAAGGAAATTGAGGCACAGGGAGATTAAGTAACTAGCTGCCAAAGGTCACACAGTATGTGGATTTGAACCCAGGCAGTGTGGCTCAAGTCCCTCTAAACCCCTCCCAATCACTCTGCTGTACTGCCTACCCATAAATGTCTCCAGGAGACATTTCCACATCTCTCACTATTTCATTCTCATATAGGAGTTCTAAAAATTAATTTTACAAAACCTTTTAGAAATGTATTTTCCCTGTGATAGAGGACGACTTTCCCCAAATTTCTCCAAAGTAAGTCTGTTTATTTCAGTGTGCAAAACGGAGTAATTCTGGATTACTTAGGCACCCTATTATGGTTTTACTGCATAAGGTGAAAATTAACTGGAATGTTGTTTCTTTGCTATACTTATTATAATCAAATTTTACAAGCCATGAAATTAATTGCACTCTTTTTGTTGTTGTTGTTGTTGAACGCCTAAAAAGTTTTCTAAAAAAATTTGTAAAGGCACTGTCAGATAATTTGGAGTTGACTAACTACTCCAGATACTGTATAACTTGCATAACCATTTTTTGCCTTGAAGTTGTGTTTGTATAAGAAATAATTGTTAGAAACATTTGATAATGTACAAAGTAGTCCATAATGACACTGTTCAGTACATTTTTATATTTTTTTTTGTTACATCCCACTTTTTGTAAATATCCTCAAAGAAGCTTGATAATAAAATGTTATTTCCATATCACCATACTTTTCCATGTGAAAACCTGAGCCTATCTCTAATAGAGGTATCCAAAGAAAATTTTATTTGGTTGTGTTACTTTCCCAGGCCTTGGAAAAAGAACTATTTTGGAAATAGTATTTGTAAATGGAATAATGCTATATTTAAGAACACTGATTCTTTTTTTAACTTCCTAAAATAAAAAACAACTCATTATTATAATTTTATATGAAATTTGAGGTAATTATCTGGAGGTCTCATTTCTTGAATGAAAGTTTGGAATAATAAATTTTTCAGGAACTGCTATCAAATATTCAACTATTTCAACTGCCAGAATTAAATAAGCTAAGTACCTAATATCAAAGTTAATTTCCCAGGTTTTAAGATATAAGGCATTGCCTAATTCCTCCCTCTTAATTATAAAAACTATTAAATAATTGGGAAGGGCCAACTATGGGCATTTTCATCTAAAAATTCTCAAGTCTTTGAAAAAAGAAAATAAATATGGAAATACAATAAGACTGTCTAGGAATGACCCAAGGCTGCGCAGCATCTGAAAAGAATGCCTCCACATCTTCCTTTACTTTAGAGTGAGCTGCAGAATGGTAGTCCTGTTCTCAGTTAAGCCAAAGAAGCAATAAAAAGAACAGTTCATCACTCTGCCAATGAACTTGCAATAATAGTTAAGCCATAAGTTTAAGACATGACTAGTATTCTTTTCCTTTAATGTCACTTGTAAATTTGTGTTGCTAATATAAGTCTTCAGAAAGTCCACGTGTTTTGTATTAATATAAAAGTTCTATGAACCAAAAAATGAGAGATTATAGAACTAAAACTTGACATATATCTGAAAATAAAGAATTAGTTCAATTTACAATTGAGCTACGTAGTCTACGTTTACTCTCATATTTCAAGTATATGTCAGATTTACTGGTTTTACTATGACTTGAAAAACTTGTTTAATCTAATTTTGTTTTTAATTATAAAATTCACAAACGCATATGGTAAGAAATTCAGATACCACAAAGGAGAACAAATAAATAAGCTCATACACCTCAAACCCACTTCCAGATTGGGAAATTTAATGGTGATTATTGGGCATTCTTTCCTTACTTTTTATGTACAAGTAAATATCACAAAACAGAAAACCACCAGTCTGTACTAATATATTAATTTCTATGAAATTACTTATAAGCATTTCTTTAAATGTAGCTTTTCTCCAACAAAAATGGAACCGTAACTATAAAACATTTTTGCACCCTTTCTTCACTTACTAAATCTTAAGAGATCTTTCTACGACAGAACATACTGCTCTAGGGCCGGCCCCGTGGCTTAGTGGTTAAGTGCGCGCACTCCGCTGCTGGTGGCCCAGGTTCGGATCCCGGGTGCACACTGACGCACCACTTCTCCGGCCATGCTGAGGCTGCGTCCCACATACAGCAACTAGAAGGATGTGCAGCTATGACATACAACTATCTACTGGGGCTTTGGGGGAAAAAATAAATAAATAACATACTGCTCTACTTTATTTTAAAAAGTAATATATGAATAATTCTATTTAATCAGTCCCCTATGAATGGCCAGTTTGGTTTAATAAAAACCGGAAAAAACCTATCAGTGTTCATGTTTACTTTTTAAAATAAAAATACAACAACTAGCCTTATTCAAGGAAACTCAGTTTCACAATAACTTGTTTCATTAAGTTGAGAGCACACAATTGAGTTGTGAGCAGTTGTGTCAAGAGCAGTGAAGAGAAAATATTTCAATACTTATTTTACCTGTGATATATGAAATGTATTCCCTTTATTTTGGGTTCCTAGGCAGACTTGGTAAAAAGTCAAAACTGAAATATCACCGCCAAACAAGTTCACCAAACCCAGCTACAGGTGATGGAGAGGGTTTTGACTCATGTGCATTCATCTGACGACTTCCACCATGAAGTCTCTGATGAGGTAGCAAGGCAAAGAAGTTAAATCTTTCTCCCATCTTCCTAGGATTCATTAACATATCATATCCCTGGAGTAACTGCTGCCTCAATGATGGCTCATCTGATTTATCTAAAAGAACCTGAAAAGAAGCAATTTGTTAGTAAAAATAACCAGAAGAAAGGATTCCTAGTTATATGCAGCAATACTAGTGATTATTAGCTATTCGATAAAGCAGTGCTTAAAACGTGATTTCTGATCACCTGCCTCAGAATCATGGGGTGCTTATTAAAAACATAGACTGCTGTGACCCAAACCTATGGATTTATGTTTAACAAATATTCCCAGTTTGGTTTGATCTACACTGAAGGGTTAATATGTCCTCAGAAAAGTTATAAAATTCATACCCATAAACGTGGTCAAGTTTTTTTAATGAACATGAACACTACTTGGAAGTCTTAATTCTACTTCATATGGAGATGCATGAAAACTCACCAGGATACTCTTCCCCCAGGCTGTCTGGGTCCACTAAACCCTACACTACTGAAAAGACTGGAACACCAAGGATCTGGCTAACTATAATAGTATTAAGACCAGGTGAACTGACTTAAAATATTTTTTTGAAATACTATGAAATTACAATATTTAATGATAGTGAAATAAAACAAATCATTACCTTCAGCCGGACATCAATGCCCATATTTTTTAAAAACGTTTGTTGTTTTATTGGACCCAGAGAAGCTACTTTTCCCTGTACCATTCTGCGCAAATAACTGAAGTCCACGTCAGCAGTGAGGTCTGCTGTTCCAGGAGCAATTAAGACATCATGAAGCTTGTGGCCACAAAACCCCTTAAATGTAATTTTAAAAATGATGAGTTTTTGTCTTTTTATGGTTTCATTATCAAGATTAAAGAAATGCTACCATTTTAGCACATTTTACATAACTCTTATAAAGGGAAATATGCCCTAAATCAGTGGTTTACAAACTCATAATGCATCAGTACCCTTTCTTCAAATAAGATGCTATGTGGAAAACCCAATATAAAATACAATGTTGGAGTGCCTGAAGATGTTGCTCTTGACAGTTATTTAACATTTTAAT